AACTGTAACTAAGATCCACTCAGCATAGTTGCAGCATAAACCATAGGTAGGCTCTGTGGGCATTAAACAAACATAAATGTGTCTGAGCAGGTATTAGCAATAGGGATTGCTAGCTGCTCTATTAAACAGGTATCTTCAAATATGAGTGGCTAGCTATATATATATATATATATATATATATATATATATATATATATATATATATATATATATATATAGCATCTATCGTGGGTGAAACAAATATTCATACATGTACAAATTTTTAATTTATTGTATTTCCAACTAATGAATAAACATACTTTTCATATAATTAACTGTACACAGATGCATAATAACTAAATATGCATAGAAAACAGAAAAAAATTTGATTTAATAGAAATAAATCCCATTTATTCATTTTAATGGGTGAAAAATATATTTTCCTAAAAATATTGTTTGAAAAGGAGGATTCTATTAATTTGACTGAAAGGAGTACTAGCTGCTTGGTCAATGAATGTGAAATGTTTCCTTATAAGAAAACAGCTAATATTACCATTACCATTCTTTTGTGTTGGTGGCTTTCCACTTTTCCCTGCTGACAATATTGTTGAAAATGACTTTATATTCTGATATGGAATTTTAGATTTATATTTTGATTGTATTTCTTTTATTTTTCAGAATCACTTCACGGTAAGTAGACAATATTTATTCATTTTGTTGTTTTGCTCTTTGTTTTTCTTTTCTTTTTTTTCAAAGTGCATAATTGTTTTTCAGTTTTCTATGCTTCCGCTCACTTGATTTTATTCATGATTTTAAATATCTTTATTATTGGATATCGGAAATATTTTGTTCTATAATTTCTTTTGCAAAATCATTGAAGTTTTATTGGATATATAGGTTGATGCGCCAGTAAAAAATGTCTTACCTTGTTGAAAATACATGCTCATATTTTAAGAAACTTTATAGGTATGTATGTTATTTGTATTATGAAAGCATAAATTCAGCTTGAAGATATGTTGCTATTATCTATAAAGAAAGGTTATCTAACATATATAAACCTCTATTTCAAACCATTTAAGATTATAAATTTCATTTCAAAATTTTGTTTTGTTTTGCATATTCCTTCATTGTACAAGATTTTATTTTTTAGGAATCAGCTGAAGAAGTATCATGTGGTCTCCCTTTTCTTGCTGATTTAGCCCTTGGCTTGTCAGTGCTTGCTTGCACCATGCTTCAACTTCTTTATCAGGGACCAGAGAAAACACCACAGGAATATATATGTGATCATTTATTGAAATCCAAACTGCTACAAAGGTAAATTATAAATACCTCTACCTAAAATGTTTGTAATATTCTTGGTGTTTTCTTAACTAGATGTTTTGACTCCTTGTCTATCAATATCTTTATTTTTACCTATATACATATTATATTGGACATACATTGAAAACAACTGGAGAGTTCATCATATAAACAGCAATTCGAAAAACTTCTATTTGACATATTTAATTGATGAATCCACATCATTTTCCTGATGATACCAATTTATTGTTGAAACATATCAAAACAGAAGTTTCTAAAATTGTTATATATAGTAATTAAAATTTTCAGATTGACAAAAATATTATTGTTATTTTTAAAAAAGGGTATCTTTGTTACTTTATTGTAACATGCTATAGTAATATAATTTTATTTTACATTTTTAAAGGTGTGTATGGCAGTCTCGCTCAGGTGACAGAATGATTCCTGTAAAAGAAATAACATCACTTAATCAAGATGATAGTGATAAAGCTAAAACTAACAAATTACCAAGAATAAAGTTACCCCTGGAAATTATGCGTAAACTTCGTCAGTTGTCAATGAGACCACCTCCTCAACTGAGACCAAGTATAAGGTAAATTTTTCAACATTTACTTATCTATTCTATTGTATACAGCACAAAATTTAGATTCACACATCAATTTATGAAAATTTATTTTATAATAAATTATATTTTTATGATGTTCATATAATGTTTGAAAAAAAAACAGTAAAATGTATCTATTTACATTTTAAATTTGTATTCAAATTAATTATGAAAGTACTTGTGTTTATACTCTATGCCAGGGGTCAACTTGGGTTTTTAAAATCATTGTGTGCCAACAGCATACATATTTTTATACAAGGTCAATATACCTGTTCTACAATATATTTTATATAGTAATATATAGTATATCTACTTTAGTATATATTAAAATTGAAACAGCTAAATATCTTCTTTGCATTGTAGTAGTTATATGTTTGGATTTTGTAATGTCATTTGAAGCTGCATGCCATTGGAAATTGCTTGGCGTGTTGCACGTTGTCAACCCCTACTCTATGCCATAGAAAATATATTTCTGGGATCTTTAATTTTGCTCTCAGTACTAACTGTAATATTTGCACGATTTTTTTTTTTTTGTAATTTTACTTTTCTTTTTTAATTATCTTTTAACCTGGACTGACGAAAATCATCACAAATTTTAATTATTTTTCATATTTTTTATTACTTTTATCATATTGTTTAAGTATTTTACAAATATTGTAAAATTTTACTTATAACTGATATATTTTCAAGTGTAAATATTCATTTCTTTTATGTACACTTTTTAATTAGAAAAGATATAATATACCAATAGTTGAAAATTTATTTTTAAAAAAATGTTTTATATTATAATAGGTTTTGTTGCATTATAAAAGATTCTGACAAAATCTTTCTAAGACAAATACTGAATAAATTTTATATTTTGCAGGGATGTTATCAACCCAGATTTCTTGGAAGAACGTGTCATCTCTGCTGCATTAAAACACTCCTCATTGACAGAGAGTTTACATTGTTTGTCTCAAAATCAACAACAGACTGAAGAATTTTTATTATTGTCCAGTGTCACAGAGGAAGTATTCAAACGTATTGATGCTCTTGTACGTCAACTTCAAGTAAGTTTTAAATATAAATTATACATTAAAAAAAATGAAAAAGAAGAATGATAGTATGGAAATTAGCATTCAACAGTTTAAGATATTGTTTTCATGAAAAAATATATATATATATATATATATATACACACACACATACATATATATATATATATATAGGAAATTCATATTTACAATCATAAATATATAGTGTTCAGTATTATTTTATTTTTATTGCATTGTTTGAAATGAATACTATTGGTGTCGTGTCTTAATTTGACTGCTTTTAGGCATGAGAATATTTTTCAGATCTTGACATTGGTTATTTTCCTATGTATCTAAATTTATAGAGAAAATTAAGGTGGGGAAGGTTTAAGACCTGACAGTATGCTAAGTGAAGCCAGGTACAGCAATAAAATTTATATGCATATATGACAAGGACAAAATGCTTGAAACAATGATATCAAAATAATCCAAACTGCCAAATATTGTTGAATGTTCTTAAAATGAAAGCTTGCTTTTAATTGGTCATAAGAATTGTTTCAGCCAATAATAATTATATTTCATTTAGATATTTTGTGGAGGTCTTTCAATTTATCTATAAAGGATGTAAGGAAAGAATTCCATATGATCAGTGTCCTATTATAATTCTGGTTGTTCTTCCACTAGTAAGTTAGCATGTGCATTATACTCTGCTATTACCTTAGATAATGGACCATTATGTGTTGAGAATGATGGAAGAATATTAATAAACACTGTTTAGTTTTAATGAGAAAAGGAAGCATACATAAGATTTAGGAAGCAATAACACTCTAATCTGCTTCACTGAAATGGGAAACTTTGTCACTTTTTAATCTTGTCATTTGTACCATCTTACTTCTTTAAATAATGACTTGTATTCATACTTATTATTGTTATTGCAATATTTTATTAAACTCAATTATTTAAAGATGCAATAGAGGAATTTCCATGGGAATTTTATAACCACGGAATACACAAGGAACTTAATTAATCTTTAACTTAAGAATTATGATTCATCAGGAAATTCAAATTGGAAATCTGTGAAATTGTGGTGTGTACTGCTAGCACTATATAAAGAAAAGAGTTAGATAAATATGTAAATAGTAACTTTTATTTTGAATGGCTGGGAAAAAACAACCTATGGAGAATATCAGTAAAAAATTTCCACAAAATCATTTTGATCAATTATATTAATATGTTCTATTTGATAATAAGGCTTGAAGATAAGTAAAGACTATTTTGTTGTTTTGTAATAATTTTAATAAATGTTGTAATAAATTTATTTTCCAGAGTTTGGCTGAGTTAGAGCAAAGATGGCACAATGAAGTCAATGACCTGAAACAAGAATCATCTCAGTTCCCACCATTTTTTGATGATTACCATCTTCAAGAAGTAAGAAAATTTTCAACTTTTATTCAAAATTTGTTCATGATCAAACGAGCATAAAATTCGATTTTGATACACTTGATTAATTTACTTGTCAAAATGCCCACAAAATCAAAGCATCTTTTTGAGACTATAATGAAGCTGGATGTTGGTATATGAAAAGATCTTTCTTTCTCTATTCATTTAATAGAGGAAAAGGTGTCACTTTTAGAGAAACTCAGTAAATGAGAAGAGAGCTGAGCATTGTGATTAATAAATGTCTTTGTACATGGTGTTTTGACTTTTACATTGGTTTTGGAATTCTAGGCAGGAGGAAGCTTTGTAATTGTCAGAGTTAAAAAGAAGCAGCAGCAGTTGTGAGAGAAGAGAAAGAAGATAAGAGAGATTTTTTAAGTGTGATCAAGAATTGGTAAAAGGAACCAAATGTTACAGCCCAGATATTATTTTCCTTCTAGCTCATTTCTGTTGCAGGAATTGGTAAGAACATGCAGTTCTTCATTATTGTTTATTTTAATTAAACCACAATAAACTACAAACTATTTTGCCATGAAGAGAAAGTAAAATTGGGTACAGATATGATAAAACCATTTAATTGTGAGGCTAAAAAAAGGTGAATTTAGTCGCTAAGTTTTTAAACATCCCAGATGTCATAAGCTTCATTCCATTTTTCTTACATGGAAGTCTATGGTCAAATCACACTGAAAACACTGGTTCTTGTTTGATCACAAAAGTTAAGCAACATTAAGTTTGGCTAGTACTTAGATGGGAGATCACTTAGGAACACTGGATTACAGTACCCAGTGTTACTAAGTGATCCCCCATCTAAATACTAGCCAAAGTTGTAAGCAACCTTCTACAATCTGAAATGTGTTTCAGCTTTAAATAGCCTATAAATGGTTCATAAACTGTAAAAAAAAAAAAAAAACCCAAAAGACCAGATTGATTAAGATTTGTCCCTACTTAGAAATGAGTGAAGAACAGCTGAATGAAGACATGATAAAAATTAAAGAAGGTTCTTTTGGAGCATATGGAAAGCTTAGAAGAATAAGGTGGACTGTAGAATCAGTGGATGTTTATGCTAACAATGCCAAAAGGTTGGTAGGATATATAGGGAGAGGTCTAGATAAAGCAGCAAAACTAGCCTTCCAGATGACATGTGGCATTGCAACAAATATCTGGTGTTGAGAAGATGGGAGTCAATGAATTGGTACTGACTGCAGAAGTCTAGAACAATAGTAGTTAAATGTGGCAAAGAGGAAACTAAGAAAAAAAAACAAGGGAGGCAAATGGGGACATCCAGCAACCTAAATCAAATGTGTTGTAGGGGTAAAAAAAACAAAAGAAAAACTAGGGCATATAGCAAAGAATTCTCCTCGGGGGAACAAGAGGATCTTCTGCATTGGAGATGCTTGCCCCCTAAGCTTGCAAAAGGTTGGGATGGGAGTGGCACTTAAAGAGCAATTGATGGGAGAGAAGTAGGGTGTAAAGGGACAAATACATGGGAGTACATAACTAGAATCAATAATTATTGATGGTATCAATATTGTTTTTATTATGGATATAATGACTAAGCTGGAAAGTGTGACTATTTGTAATGGCAAGGTGAAATTTGGAATGGCAAGTTATGCTGCAAATACCCAAACTGTTGCAGAAATGAAAATAAGGATTTCAAAGCAGAGTTTGATGAAAAAAGGTAAACAGTGGAATTGGATGGGAGAGCCACTAGTATTAAAAAAAAATCACAAAGTGGGGCTGTTACAAATGTTCTGTTAAAAAAAAAAAAGGTTTGAAAAGGAGTAATGGATTACAGAGCATTCTCTTGACATGTAAATGGGGAGTTAATGAAGTTATTGCTGGCAGTAGTCAAAGCAACTAAAAGCAAAGTCAGATCAGTACTGGACTTTTGGAAACTGAATAATTATGTAATGTCATACTGGGATTGACATAGTAGATCAATGGGAAAAGAAATTGGAGGCAAATGGCTGGGAGAACAAAAATTGTGAACCTCAAGTGGACCTATTTGCAATTACACATTGCAGATAAATTATGGTGGTACTATTTGTTGAAATAAAAGTGTAAAATGCACTGTTTAACTAGGTTGGAGTTTGGGCTCAATGTTGCACCAAATGTTATGGTAGCAGTCCTAAAAAACAGTGCTAGAGAATAAGAATAAAGTAAAAGAGGCCATATATATTGATTACATCATAATAGATTAGATGAAAGTGTCAGCAGAAGTAGAGGGCCCTCTTAAAAAAAAAAAAAAATTGGGTTTATAGCAAAGCCTGTTAAGTCCTTAGATAGGGGAGCAGATATTGGGGCTCTGACTAAAATGGGAAAACTGGTATTTAAGAAGGCAGGGAGTGAAGTGTCAGAGTTAAAGGAAGATGTGAGTTGACAGGAATTATTCTCAGTCTGTGACAAATTGCTGGATGACTACAAACATCATGGAGTTATGTTAAGAAGAAGGCAAGTAAGATTACCTGAGAATGTATAGTAGATGATTGGATGATTGCTTTTGAGGCAGAATATTCTGGCAGAGATAAAGGAAGATCCAGTAAATGAGAAATGGTATGTACCTAAATCAAAAACGGTAGTAGTGTGGTATGATACAAGCAATATTTATACAGGTGAGATAGATGGTGTAGTGACTGAAGAAATGGTTAAGGAAAAAAAAACCTCAATGTGACTGAATTAGTTGCTGTATTGGAAGGTATTAATTTGGCCTTAAAGTGGGGTTTGAAAGAAATGGAAATCAGGATTGATTCAGCCACAGTAGTAAGTTGGGTGGATGCTACTCTAAGAGAAAAGTGAAGAATAAGGACAAAGGGTTCTGCAGAATTGATGATAAAGTGCAAATTAGGAATACTAAGGGAGTAAGTTTTGACTGAAGCTGGAAGCAATGTTTGTGCTTTCAAGAAGAAATAAGGCTGATATGATAACATGAATAAAAAAGAATTGGCTGGTCATCAAGTAGGAAGAGGTAGAACAAAAAACATTTGGCACAATTTGCATCATATGAATATGAACAGTGTGGAAAGTTGATCCACTTGTTAAGAGAGAGGAGATCTAAAGAGTCGTCATAATCTGCATTAGGTGTCAGTTAACTGACCCTGCCCTGAACACACATGACCCAGGTGAGATCATACCTGGAGATAACTGGAAAAAGGTTAGCTATTGATTTGGCACATAATTGCAGGGGAATTTACCTATAGTGATTGTGTCATTGAACAATATGGAGGCAATTGCAGGCAGAGACAGTTGCAAAGGAATGAGAGAATGTAAGAATCTGTACAAGAGATTGTAATGGATAATAGCACAGTTCATGCTAGAATAATGGAATATTCAAAGATATTAGAACACTGCATATTGCCCAGGTGGAGAGAAATCATCAGAGTGTGAAAGCTATAACTGAGAGATGAGAGATATCACCCATAGAAACAACCTTCTGGTACAGTATGGCACCAACAATTAGATGAAAGAAATGGTGCCACAAAGGTCAATTTTCACCTATGGATGGAGGAATCCAACAGGTGTAATGCCAAATAAAGACAAGGAGGTATCTCACAGCCCAGATATTTCTAACTTGTTTCTGGGGCAGAAATTGGTAAGTACATGCAGTTCTTCATTCTTGTTTACTTTCTTTAAACCTAAATAAACTACATTAGTTTAATTAAGCCAAACATCTTTAATATTTTTTTTTTTACATTTGTCAATAAGGTTGGTTACATTTAGAATGTCAGAAAGTTAATTTGCTTCTCTCTCTCATCTCGCATGAATGTCTAATGGTTAATATATTAGCAGAAGTTGAGTCTTTCTGTTAATATTTCGTGTATCTTTTCAAATGTTTTTTCATTATTATTTATATAAAATATTTTATCATTATTCATGTAGTTCATTTGTTCTGATTAAACATTTAAAGACCACTTTTTATTCTTCAGGTCAAAGTGTATTAAAAAATGAATATTTTAAAAATGTTATAATACCCTAAAAACGTATATTATAAAAATCATCTGATTAAAAAATTCTAAAATGATTTATACACTACATGTATTTGTAAGAATCTATTTTTCATGCTATGTATAGTATATTTAAATCATTGAAAAGAGAGCAGAATATATTATCCTCATTGGGGAGAAAAAATTCATTCATATTGAAATAATTTATAGCTTTTAAAATATCTTAAATCTGTAATTCACTATTCATTGTTGTATAAAATGTGATTTGTATATTTCAGTGAAGATATTATAGAAGAAAATCTTTCTTAGGTAGCTTACTTACAAATTTTCACCAAGAGCTGAAGTAAAAATATAATTTTTAAATACTGTCTTCAGACATTCAAGTAAATTTATACTTGTATTTAAAATTTTCTTAATGTAAATTATATTCTCTACTTAAATTTATAGACAAAACTGAAGGAATTGACTATGCTCTGTTTCCTGAAGGATGTTGAACTTGATCTTGCTGATCCTGAAGAAGCTATGAAATATTTGAGGTAAAAATAACTAATAGCTAAATTTAATAGTTTAAATATATACATTAACTGTGTATTCATTATCATCATTTTAAGATTGAAGCATCTTTATTCTTTGTATCTGAAATAAAGTTCAAACAGACTTACGTACTCTTCTAAAAGAAAAAGTAAATATTTAAAGATAGCTTTGGTTGCTCTTTATCTCAAAATAGAAAAAATAGCATAATAAAAAATTTGCATTCTCATAAAATGTAAATCTTCTACTATAACATTAAAGCATCAGAGTAAAAAATTAAAATACTGTATATATTCACATATCATTTTGAAGGCCTAATTTTGAAGCTAATTTGACTACAGTAAATGGATAAATGGATTTTGGTGAATGGAGGAGCCAGGGCCAGCAGTACATATGTTAATTTTATATCTTGTGTATGATGCAACTCCTTTAAAATTAGCTTTAAAATTAGGTCTTCAAAAGTTGCATGATATGCAAGTATATACTGTAAATATATCTACACTACATATGTTTGTAAGACTGTAAGAAAGTCTGGCTTATAGTATCTAGTAAAAGAAACATCAAAGCAGCCTTGGTCTTTGTATTGTCAGTATAATAATTTAAAAAGAATTTGAAAAAATTCTTGGAAAATATTTGCTTGTTCATTCATTTTTATAGAGAAATTATTTTATTATGATTATTTTTTCTGTTTATTTCTGAAGTAAAGAATTTTTTGTAAGAAGTAAAGCTATTTTCTTTTAAAAAAATCTATTTAAAAAAAATATGAAGATTTTTTGGTATAGTTTGACAGAACATATTCTATTTTGGAATGTAAAATCAAAGTAATTGTAAAGTAATTCATAATCTGTCCTTTCATTAGACATTTCAAATATAAAAAAATTGTCCAGTTCAGAGAAAAGAACCAGTTTTGAACAATGCAGTAAATTAAACTAAATTGTTTAAAATCTTTTGCTAACTGTAACTAATTATGATAGCATCACAAAAATAGAGTTTTTGAAAAAAAATTAATAAAATAATTAAACATCTTAATTGAGGATTTAAATATCTTTGCAAAATAATTTTCTTTTGTTAAATTCCATCATTTGTCATTTTTAAAATAATATAGCTTTAAAGAGGAAGCACATGCACAGAACACTGTATACATATTTACATGTGTGTCCCCCACACAGAAAAAAATATAACATATCTACACAGCAAGTAGAGTAAAAGGAGAATGAAAAGATAGGGTCTTACATATAGTATGGAGAGCCATGTTTATGATCTCAGATTCAAATGATCTAGATTAATATATGTTCCAAG